TTCAATACGCATAGTATCATTGCATCAAAATTTACTCACACTTTCTTATCGTTAAGTAACATTCCATTGACATGCTTAATGGCGTTTTCGGCAGCCTCAGCCGTTTCGTAATGAACGAAACCATAGCCTTTAGACACACCATCTTCCATGGCGACTTTAAGTATAACATTTAGATACGTTGGTCATCATATTCCTAAAAAAGAACGTCAATCTAAACTTGAAGAAATAAAAGCCAAGTTCACAAATATTTATGTTAAAAATTTGGACACCGAGGTTAAATTAGAAGAGTTCCGTAATCTCTTCACAGCCTTCGGTAGAATCACATCTGCTGTTATTGCCACTGATGAAGCTGGCAATTCTAAGGGATTTGGCTTCGTTAATTATGAAAATCATGAAGAAGCAGCACGTGCAGTGGGTGAGCTTCACGATACAGAGTTGAAAGGAAAAAAATTATTTGTTGCCCGTGCTCAGAAAAAACATGAACGTGAAGAAGAATTACGAAGGCAATATGAGCAGGCTAAAATGGAAAAACTGAACAAATATCAAGGAGTCAATTTGTACATAAAAAACCTTGAGGATGACATTGACGATGAGAAATTGCGTCAAGAGTTCTCTGTCTACGGTGTTATTACAAGCGCAAAGGTGATGAGAGATGAGAAATCGCAATCTAAGGGGTTTGGTTTCGTTTGCTTCTCGTCTCCTGATGAAGCTACCAAAGCAGTAACCGAAATGAATGGTCGCATGATTGGCAATAAACCCATTTATGTTGCTTTGGCTCAAAGAAAAGATGTACGAAAATCACAGTTAGAAGCTCAAATTAATCAGAGGAACCTAATCCGTCAGCAACAAGCGGTAGATTTTTTTTTTTTTTTGTCTGAGGAAAGAATTTTCTTAAAAACTCATTTAAGATTTGCTCTAATTATTTAGTCAGTTGGAATGGGTGCCGGTGCCTTTGGAATGCCCGGTGTGTATGCTCATCCAGGTTCATATGGAATGAGGTCTGGCCGCCCAGCTCCTTTTTACGGTCAAGTTAACATGATTAATGCCGTCCCTGGTACGACTCCAAACCTTCGTGCCAATAATTTCGGAGGAATTGTCAATCGTCCTAATGGAAGACCACAAAATAATCCTCCTCAGAACACTGGCCGCGGAAACCCTAATGCTAATCGCAGCATTAGGAACCAATATCAGCAAGCACCTAAACAGCATAATCAATTCAGTCAAAACAGTCGTGTTAGTAATGGGCAAGGACCATCTAACACTCGTAATACCGTTCCCGCCGTGCAAAGTACTTCAGCCTCTATGGGCTCAGTCTTTGATAATCGTAAAATTATTGGTGTTTCTCACGAAGCGCAAAAACAAGTGCTTGGTGAACAATTGTTTCCTAAGATTTCGGCACGCCAACCTGCATTGGCTGGTAAAATTACTGGAATGTTGCTGGAAATGGATAATGTTGAGTTGGTACATTTACTCGAAAGTCCTGGCGCTCTAGATGCTAAGGTATTTGGTTTTATTTATTTAATCGAAAAAAATAAAAACAAATAAAAACAAAAAAGGAGCTAACTTTAATTCTGAAAAAAGGTCGAAGAAGCAGTTACCGTGCTGAGACAACACCAAATGGCTACTGGCCAAGACTTTCCCCAATCTGATTAAATAATTTATTTTGGCCTTGTGTAATAAATTTAATCGTTTGTTGATTGGTTGTTTTTTCGCGCTTTTTTTTTTTTTTTTTTTTTTTTTTTTTTTTTTTTTTCTCTTTTTTTTTTTTTTTTTTTGGTTTGCATTTGTTTTTTTTTTTTGTGGTGTTTTTTT